ATGCAAATCAAGCAGGAGAATGTGGAAATTTTTGAAAAGATGAATATGAATGAATGAGAGGACGGACACGCACGATGAATGATGCATCTTAAGTAAGAGTGAAGACTTGAAGGTCTGCAAGGTCACGTAGGAGGTCTAACGCAGGATCACAAACAAATACACATACACATGCTACATACACACATGCATAAACACATGCACGCATTTACACACATGTATATACGCATCACAAGCCAAACGTACGCATATATCTAAATAAGCCTACACACAAATACGCAATAAATTACACGTACATACAGGCATTTATACACACACACACACAAACACACACAAACACACACACACACACACACGTGTACTACACATACAGGCAAATTTATAAATAAATATATTACACAAAACATGTTCAAAATGAAGAAAATTATGGAACTTAAGAGTGAACACTACAACGTTTTCAAGGTCATGTAACTCATATGCAGATTGTAGCATACACACATATACACAAGTGTACACTACACATACAAACACATACATGCAAACACATACACGCCACATATTTACTTATCTACACACGCACACACACACACGCACACACGCACGCGCACACACTCATATATAAATACATACGTACACGAACGTACATATTTACACAAACACACACACATTTGTATATAAGTCCCACAACACATGTTCGAATCCACGAACGCCAATGAAAATCGAAGCTGAAATATTGAAACTACTTTTTTTCTCCTTCATTGATATTCCCACCATCTAGTCGTTACTGAGTACCTACAAAAATCCAGAAAAATAATATCACTATCATCGTCATCATCATCCTCTTCCTCCTCCTCCTCCTCCTCCTCATCATCATCACCATCCTCCTCCTCCTCATCATCATTAATTATCATCGTCATCGATGTCGTCGTCGTCATCATCATCATCAGCATCATCTTTATCGTCATCATCATCAATAATGACGTCACGTCATGCAGCTTTGTAGTAACTTGATAACTTCTGAAATGACAGGAGCGCCTGAAGTAACTTCAAAATCTCATTTCCTTTCAAATTCCATCTTTCATCTATCTCGGAGGAAAAAATATTTCACACACATAATGATTATTCAAACGATTTGTTACTCTATACAAAATTCCAATGGCTCAGATAAGTAAGCGCGCTGTGTTTTATACGGTTATCTAATCCAAAGAACGATGAACTGGTTCGGACGCAAGCCAAATAATTTATGTTACATACATTAAAGAGGTTATAAATTTTTGGTTAAGCATTCACGTTTGAATTCAACTGAATTTACAATGAATAATGTTTTTAATGATGAGAAAACTTTAAAAATGATACAATTCAAACACATTATTCATCATCATTAAATCAATAAATACTTTTAAGATTGTAATAATTTGTTTGATTTGCATAAATTTTAATAAATAAACGTAAAAGATTGTTATTGCCTGCAACAATAGAATTATTCCATTTAACACAAACTCAATTTGGACACTAAATAAACTCGTTTTGTATAAACTGAGATGTACATTGTACATATGTCGTGAAACGTGCATTAACACGTTGAACACAAAAACATCATTTCGTCGACTACTAGATGTTTATAAAAAGCTAATGATTTTGATGTACTTTTTATTACGGTCATCATCAACAACAGCAGAACAAGAGCAGCAGGGAAGATGGCGAAGACGAGGGAGGTGTTTTGAATGAAACGAGAAACAACGTCCTGATCTCAAATTTTTTTGTTCTGAAACTTTGAAAGTTAAAAAAAGAAAGTGTGTGACGGAATTTGCGCTGAAATGAGGCGATAGAAAACATTTGAAAGCCGAAACATTAATAAAAAACTGCCACAACAAACATTAGAACATAACGGAAAAAACAATTAAGATTGCATTCACAATCATCACAGCAACGATTTTTACACAAACAATCATTACACCAACAGTCATTACATTAACAATTATTACATTAATAATCCTTACATCAACAATCCTTACATCAACAATCCTTACATCAACTATCATTACATTAGCACTCATCACAGCAAGCAAAAAAGTTACTAATACACGAATAAATGAAATAATTTTTAGATTATAGCATCTTCCACATAACAGCAAGAAAAGTGATAATTAATGTCGAGTTGGGAACTTAGTAACCCACTGGTTGGTTGATTGGCTGGATGGATGGAGGGATGGTTGGTTGGTTAGTTGGTTGGCTGGCTGGATGGATGGTTGGTTGGTTGATTGGCTGGCTGTATGGTTGGTTTGCTGGATGGCTGGTTGGTTAGTTGGTTGGCTGGATGGATGGTTGGTTGGTTGGCTCATTGACAAGCTACTGTAGCGGCTGCAGATCATTCCACGCGGTGTCGTACATTTTCCCGCCTTTTATGACGTCAACAAAAACTATGGAAGCCCACGTTGAAGATAAAACAAAAAATTCTATGTGCTTAGTTTCATTCTTGCGCAAGAAAAGTGAAAGTAACAAAAATAAAAATGAATAACTGAGTAAATATAAAAACGAATAACTAAAAATAAAAATTTACTAAGCGGATGCCACATAAGTGAAGACCAGAAATGAAAAAAATTTCAGCTCGTCACGGAGAATTAATTTCAACTAAAAAAAAACTCTTTCACGTACACTTAATACACACACGCAAGACACACACACACACACTAAAACAAACACACACACATGCACATACTCAGAATACACGCACACACACTTCTACACGGCATACAGACACGCACAAACACACACACACACATTTTGACACTATAATAAACAAATCATTGACGTCACTGAGATACTGCTCGGCGTATATTACGCACGACAGATGCACACACAAAAATAATTAACTTAAAAATGTTATTTATATTAATGAGCGCTGCAAAAACATCGTACATAAACACTACACACCCGTACACACACACACGCACACACACACGCACACACGTACACACATACGCACACACATACACATATAGCCCACGTGCATATTAGGCAAACGAATTCACTCAATCAGAAGAGTAAGTAAGAGTAACACATGATAATTAGGAGAGGTAGAAGTTGAAAGAAAGTACTTGTTCGGTGTGAAGTTGATGTCTATCCGTACCTATTTGTACATGTGTGTGTATGTATGTGTGTGTGAGTATGTGTGTATATTTGTGTGTTAGTGTATCCATGTTTGTTGGAGTGCTCGACACGTGATTAGAATGCTGTCACGTTTGTATATTTGCAAATGAAATGCTTGTGGTGGTGTGTGCGCGTGCGTGTGCGCGTGTGCATGCTTGCGTGCGTGTTTGTGTCTGTTTGTAGACGCGAAAGTCCATGTCTATTTGCAAATATCTTGTCAATTACCTAACGCATTTTGCTTAAAAATCTCCGTCGCATCTGTTTGATAAAAATGCAGGCGTTTGTCCGCGTGAAATTTTGTTAAAAATGCAAGCATGTACACTTGTACAGTGTATAAAAATGGTTGTGTGTGTATGTATGTATAGATAATCTATGCAAAAGTTACTGAGTTTGTACATAAATAGGGTACGTAATTGTTTTACGCAAACTACGGTACACATTACTTTAATACGAGTTTGTTGAACTGTACTTAATGTATGGTTGGAAAGAAATATTTTTATTGAGATGACTCATTCTTGTGTGTCGTTAGTGGTTGCTGCATTTTCAAAACTTCCATAACAAGGTTCCAGTTCGTTATCAACAACAGCGTGATGCTTATTTGCTCTGGATTTATGAATTTCAATTTTTTTTAATTGTTCAAAAGAGAATTTTTTTAATACTAACAAAATTGATTTAAGATTTTGATTGATTTATTTGAAACTTTTTTTCTAGTGCAATCATTTGTTTCAGCTCAAGTTTTTGTCCTTACAAACATTATTTCTTCATCTATGACACTCTTTATTGAAATAATTTTTAGTTTGTTTCATGCATTATTTATTTATTACGCAATGTTGAAAAGTCGTAATGTTCATAAGATTGGTGACCTCTCTTCATTAGACATTAATCATTTTCATGGCTTTCTAGTGTTCAAACATTGAAACGTCGGCATGGTTGTTTGTTTGTTTGTATCTCATTTGTATTTGTATATTACAAACACATAATTTTTTATTTTCTTATTCAATGAAGTTTGTATATATTTTTGCGTCAGTTTATGTTCATGTGTTTTTATTTAGATTTTATATGCAAAGAAGTTTTTTCGTTACATTTGAATATTTTCGGGGAATTATCTTTACCGGCGTTTTGATTTGTGAATGATTTTTTTGGTTCATTTTTCATGTTATTTTTTTTTGTTAGAAAATTTTGTCTTACGTTCTATCTTATTGATTGTGTCTTACGTGTTTACTGGGTATTTGTGTATTCTGTAGATATGTTAGTCCTACTTGAGTCAGATTTGAAACATTTCAGTGTTTAAATGTTCGTACATGTCTACATTTTAATAAGTGAGTAGGTAAGGAATGAATGGATGAAACATTTTAAAATTTTAATTTATTTCTCAATTAAACAAAATGAAACATAACTCATAAGTTAGTATTAACATTAGTTGATAGTAGACAGTTAAATAACTTAAAAACGTACTTTTAAATTTTATTGCACATAAATAAACACACGCAGTAAGTAGTATACAAGCGCGGACATAAACATGACGCACACAAACGGGCAAGCCTAAAAATAATAATCCGGCAAACATGCGTTAATAATGTCCAGCCATCGACAAATGCTTGCATGCATATCTGTTGGCAGATGAAGAAGTCGAACAGGCAACCTTTGACACTAAGGAATGCATGTTTCGAGAGATGCTCTTTTTGCAAGCATTTATGTGTGTGTTGTGCATGTATGTATGTGTATATGTACGTATGTATGTATGTATGCATGCATGTATGCATGCATGTATTTATGTATGTATGTATGTATGTGAATCAATCACAACTGTCAGCATTCATTTGAATATTTTCAGACACGAAAACACGAAGAAATCACTGCAACATACAAGACATGTGGCTCATTGCGAAGAAAAATTTTTTTTTGTCTCCGGATCTTCCACTTATAAGATTGCAAATATCTTTAAAAAAAGTTGATGTAGCTTTGTCCATAGGACCAAGGACTTCAACGCAAACCGGAAAAAATTCCATTGAAGATAGGGCGTTATCATATTTTTCAAGTTTTTCATCAGAAACCCTGGTTGCGGCAGAACCCCTTTCTAAGCTGGTTAGATTGGTGTATCCTTCTGCAAGGGTGTCAGGGATAGTGACGTCCCGAGCTAAACATTTGCCAGCATCCCATGAGATTAGAGTGTAGCCATCCGGATGCTTACCATCCTGAGCTAAAACTCCTGATGGTTCTTTCAACATCAGAATTGATGCTTTTGAAAAATGTCTGCAAATGTAGTCATTGAAAGCAGACTGGCCAACTTTCCAACAACCACCTAATCTGCTATCCAGGCCACAGTGACAAAACTCATTGGCGATTGCGCCGCACTTAGATTGGCCTGGCTTACTCTGCGACCACCTCGGTTGGGTTTCAGGAGCACGCAAGGAAAGAGCTGTTAACAATTTTTGAGGTTCAATAAAAAACCCGCATTACCCCGAACCACACAATGAGAGAGGTATCTGAGTTTTAGAACGAAAACGGCACGAAACAATATTTCACCACAGCCTTCAAATTTTTCCACCAGTACCGATATTATTGTAGTTTATTTAATAATAAAGTATGTACTGGGAATGAATTAACACATGTGCGTATGTATGGACAATGGACATAGAGAGAACCGTATGTGGAAATTGGAACGTGTGGCTAAATTAGAAATTCGAATGACTTTAGTTAAAATAATTTCTTTTATTAATAAAACATAAATTGAAGAAGTTAAATTTTGTAATAGAAATAAAGAATATTAGAAATTTGTTGTTGATTAAAATTCTAAAAGATAATTTCAGAAATAAAGAGTTTTAAGATAAATTTAAGTTGAAACACAACAATTATCCAATAAGTTATTATTAATTAATAAAATTATATTATATAAGCAACAACCAAGATCAGAACTTGAAACAATTTAATTTAGATTTTTAGTTCAACTTCGCACAAGAACATGTTTGTATGTATATACTGTGTGTATAAGCGTTAGTTCATATACAATACGTATGCATACATGTATAATAGTATATGCCTACTCTACATGCCTTTGCGTGCATGTATTGAGAGTCAGAGAAAACATAAAAAGGATAGACTTGCGTTTGCGTTAGAAAATGTTATAACGTATAGGTTCGCTATTCGTCGCTCTTAAACATTCGCGGTTGTCATTTGTTGTTCGTCTATCAAGTTAATTTTGGTATCAACGCTTAATTAGTATATTTAACGTTATTTTCAATTAACTTTTTCAATATTCAGCTATCTAAACTGTCCGGTTTCTTTTTATATTTCTCTAGTGTGTATATATTTTCATAAAATTAGCAAAAAACCAATTGTAAAACTGTCATTTAAATAGAGTACTTTAGTTGAAATAAACCATTTTATATAGATAAAATAGTTTGCGAGTGTTTTTGATGAACTCTCAAAAGATTTGAAAGATTCTAGTCACTTAAATCAAGTAAGTTTCAAACTTTTCCAGCTGAATGTACATTACTAACGATAAACAATACGATAGTTATTAAAGTTATTATATTTATTAAAGTCGGTTTGCATTTAACGTTTAAACACACACATACACACACATACACACACACACAAACTACACACACACTACACACACTACACACACTCACACACACACACCAAACGACTCAAGACAAAAAAAAGCAATATAAAAAAATGAAAAAAGGTAAATTGTTCCATTTTGTGGTTCCCCGGAGTGTCTGAAAAGTTCTTCGCTGAATTCTCACTGCAATAAAATTCAAACATTCTCAAACATTCCACACATACACTCCACACACACACACACACACACACACACACACACACACACACACACACACACGCACACACACACACACACACACACACACACACACTCACACACACAACACAATCAGGCGCGCGCGCACACACATTTGAAAAATATACAAAATAAACGAATTTCTTTCAACTTGAACGAAAACCATTGAATGGAACGTGGAAATATAATAATATAAACAAATTTAAGGCCTATATACAAGTAAAAATACAGAACCAGAGACATACATACGCAGACAAAGGACACGCAACTACGGTATATAATAGAATACAAAGAAAATTGTTGAACATTATCTCAAACAGAAAGATGTATACAAAACATATTTTATAAACTTACATTAGAAGCGTTAAAATATAAAAAAACTAATGAATATATAATATACAGCATCTATGTTATAATAGTTTAAATTACAATAAAGCGTTAAAACGTGTGTGTGTGGGCGTGTGCGAGTGTGTGTGTGTCTTTAACTGTGTTTGTGTGTGTGTGTGCCCTTAACTGTGTGTGTGCGTGTGTGAGAGAGAGAGAGAGAGAGAGATATTACAAATAAAGCTAATAAAGAAAACTTTAGAAAATACAATATATAGTATCAACACAGCATTAAGTTTGTTTTTTAAAATAAATTGACAAAATAAAAACTCATTTTTGTATGTAAAAAAAAAAACAAACAAAACTAAAAAACGAAACAAAAGCAATGGTGAAGATGGCGCGCGTACATGCACGGTCTGACTTCATTGATAACGTGTTGATTGAAGTGCATTGAATGAAATATATTGACAGTGATTCAATTATGATGACGAATGTGACGTCATAATGATGACGAAGATGATGCAATGGTAACAAACAATCGTGATGAAGATGACGTAGCAATTATGATGAATATGATGAGGATGAAGATGATACAATAAGATCTATCTGATCTGACGATATTAATTGAAATGATTCGTTAAAATGGTTTTTTAACAGTTAATATTTTATAATTTTAATAAAAGGGTCATTTTTTTAAGAACAAATAAAAATGTTTGTACAAAAAATTTGATTAATATTGACTAAACTAAAAAATGCTGATAGCAATAATTATTATAACAACAACTGATCTATACAAATAATAATATACAGAGAAATAATTATAATAATACAAATAATAAGATGATCAGTTAGTTGATGAAGCACAGTTTGAGTTTAAAATGATTCAGAGACATATTGTACTGTGTATGTAGTTTGCCTAGATATTTACTTTGTAGCTATTTCTTTATTGGGTATTTTGTACCGCACCGCAGATTAAATATTGGGTGTTGGGTGTTGAACTCGCGTACTTTATATTAAATGTACTGAATTGAATCTCAAGTCAACGTCAGGATGACGTCATATAATAATTGTCTTGTCACAGTCGATGAGGTCGCAATGACGTTGGTTTTATTATTGTTATTTTGATTGTTGTTGTTGTTATGGTCATTGTTGTTATTGTTATTGATGTTGTTGTTATTGATGTTTTTATTAATGTTGTTGTTGTTATTATTATTGATGTTGTTGTTTTTATTGTTGTTGTTGTTTTTATTGTTGTTGTTGTTATTATTGATGTTGTTAATGTTAGAACCATTTCCGTTTTTCTTCATGTTTATATTTCAATTTTTTGTCCTTGCACTACTTTTGCTTTTTTCTATACATTATTCATATGTTTTTTTTATAATTATCAAGTAGTTATTATTTCCATCATCATCATCTTTGTCACTATTGTCATCATCATTATTATTGTCATCATCATTTTATTGCCGGTAGTAACTATATCATCACCGTCAAATTTTTCATGAATATGATCACCATTTTTACATCATTTTTCTCATTAGGCTCGTTAAAAATCATCGTCATCTTCATCCACTTCCAACAAATCATCGTCAGCATAATCTTCAATTTCATCATCTTCTTCTTCTCTATCCCAATTCTTCACAATCATCATCTTCATCATCACCATCTTCATAATCACCACCTTCATTATCATTAGTACCATCATCTTCATCATCATCATTATCATCACCATCATCTTTTTTATCATCATAATCATAATCATCATCATCATCCTCTTCTTCTCCACAATCATCATCTTCATCATTAGGCCTATCATAGAATGATGCATGCATATTTTTGATGTATGCCCTGTGATTGCATGGATGCTCCCACTTAGCACGGCGTCCGTCCATTCATCCACACACCTCTCTACACCACCCTCGCCTGGAGACAAAAAATTTGAAATGATTGACTGAGCGGTGATGAAAGAAGTAACGATGGATTGAAGAGAATTGGAATGATTGAGCGAATGAAAATGAGAGAAGTAACGATGGATTGAAAAGAACCGAAAAAGGAATTAAATTTTTTGATCGATGCAACAAAAGAATGTATGAATGGGTGGATAGACTAAAAATAAATTAATAGAAATAAATGGAAAAATTATTGTTATTTTTTAATTTTTGTTTTTTTTTGTTCAGCAAGTTTGCTTTTTGATGTTTTTTACTTCTGACGTGAAAATTGTTTTTTTTTTATAACTTAATCATTTTTATATGTAAATTAAAACTTTTGAAACCAATTTTTGAAACTCAAATAACAAAACAAATTATAAAGTTTTAAAATTGAAAGATTATAAAGTAAAACAAATAACAAACAATTAAAATTATTTGTTATTAAATTCTTCTCAACAAACAACCAGAAATGGTTAATTGAAAATAAAACTTCCTAGAAACTATTGAGACAAAAAAGAAAATAAGACAAAAAAAATTAAATAAACAAACATAAACACGAGATATGTAATAATAATGAGAATATTAACATAGTATAAATGCTTCCATAAGGATTGAAGTTGAGCTCGCCTGAAAAATCTGTATAACGTAAAAATTATTTAAAGTACTCTAAAGTACCATTAAAGGATATGAAACGTCTTTTTAAAACATTATTCAATGCTTTCAATTTCGAATTTAACACGAAACTTTTTTCATACTTTGTAATATCGAAACGTAAGAAAATAATGACAACTCAAAGAAATCTTTTAAAAATTGGACTAGAAGAAAAAAACTACATAAGAAAAGTTTCAAAACAGTAAAACAACGACATATCACACCTACTATTATCTTTTTGAAAATATCCATTTAACAAAATATGTCATAATTTTTTTGTTAAAAATCTGGTAATAAAAGAAAATTTGGGTGACTATTTTGACCAAAAAAAACATATGTGCAACAGATTTTAACGAAATTCGTTTTTTGAGAAGTTATTTTTCTTAATTTAGAAGTGCTTTTGAAAGAAAAACATTATTTTCAAGAAAATAAAATTTACAAGACACTCAACTTTAAAAAATTTTTCAAGAAAAGTAATAGATAACAACTGGAAAATATTTTTTGTCTCAACATTTTGTTAGATGTAATTTTTTTTCTATATCTCTAGGTTGAATTTTTTTTTTCAAAACAATTTATAATGGTTTCGTTCATGAAATATAAATTAGGACTTCGGGTTTTTTTCTGCATCAGTGCCTTTGAATAATTTAAAATGTAGATTTATGTTTAGAGCAATAAATCTTTTTTTTAACATTGGTTTTTTTTGGTTTCAATAATTTTTCAGCAAAAATATCAAACTTATATCAATATTTTTCACATTTTTAATGAGTTTTTTATAAAAAATTTGCTGCCTGAAACTACACTAGTTAATAGAATAAAAAACATAAACATCAAAAAGTAATTTTAGATAGTTTTGTAAAAAGCTGAAATTGTCTTCCAATGTTAAATAAATTTTTTCAAATTTGTCACCATGTTATCGTCATTGTCTTGTCAGTCAAAATCACGGACATTTTGTCATTATCATTTTAATCTTTCATCATTATTGTTGTCACTATTTTTGCTATCATCATTGTGGTTCTTTTATTATTTAGTTTTACAAACACCATCATATGGTCTTTATCAACGTCGTCACCATCATAATTTTCATCATCGTCGTAGCCGTCATCATGGTCGTCATCATCGTCAGCATCATCATCATCGTCAGCGTCTTCTTGGTCGTCATCATCGTCAGCGTCATCATTTCTGTTCTCCAACTGCGAAATTTTACAGTCCACTTAATGACACATACCTTGGCAGGAACAGCCATTTCCTTGATTGCCATCGGTCGCATGTGCTCGCTTCACGTTGCGCTTTCATAATAACCATCGTCGTCGTCGTTGTCACCATCATCATTTTATTCACCATCTTTATCATTACTATCGTC